GGTCTCCTTTCACTAGTTCCCTTTATTTTGGCTCTTGCCCAATTTCCCTTATATATGGACAGCAGTTAACCAGTTGCTGCCCATGGCCAGAAATTCACTATTTAAAGCTCATTTTAACTCCCAGAAACAACTGGTGCTCCATCCTCTTCTAGAGCAACACAAAAGCAACATCTCACCAAAACACGCAGCGATACCTTTGGCTCGGTGTGATTTCCTGGGTGCTAGCAGCCAGCACAGCTCCCTGTGCAATCTGATTCCTGACAGACAGAGTGTACTCAGGAGTCAGTAGCTACCATTCCTCATCTGGCAGTTCTATTTTCAGTCCTATTGTGTGCCCTCAGAATGGCCTTTTGCTTGCTCTCCTCTGGACATTCATCTGTGTGTCAGATTAAAGAGCTGTTTTTACAGGCAGGCAGCTCTGGAGCAGGGCTGGCAGATTCTGTCCCAGATTATAGAGGGGCATTCTGCTCTCAGGAAGCCACTCCTGTGAAAGGAGAAGAACAGTTTTGTGCTTTGCACTTGCTCCTCACACCCCTCTATCACACAGAACCACAGAGGTGAGGAAAGCAGCACTGTTACTGCTTTCATCTGGGTCCTGGTTGGGCAGAACAGTAAAAGACAAGAACTGGTGGCATCTTCTGCGAGGAAGGCAGAATTTCACACACTGGCTCTGCTCCTTTGGCTCTGAGGAAAGGAATGAGTGTGAAGAGGAGCACAGAAAGGCCCCTGATCAGGGACTCCCCACCAGGTAACCCTTCCTCACCCTCTGGTTGCTACTCCCAATATTGGTAGGGAAGGCTTGAAAATTCACCAATTTAACAAACACTTCACCCTACTACCACTGATAACCCCCAAAACCTGCTCTCAGTAGAATCCCTGCTCCTATAAAAGAGAATTCATCTCTCCAGAGCTGGAGAAGAGGTGGAAAAAAGCTTTTTCTCAGTTTTTTTTTATACCCAACATAATTTCTTTAATTAAAAGGGAATTATTATATAAATGGAATTGTAACACATTAATACAACAATTAATTGAGCTGTAAATCAGGAAAAAAGTGTAATTACACTACTGCAAAGGCAAGAGATTATTTTAGAACAACAGACAATCTGTTAAAATGGTACCACGTGGATCATCAGGGTGAGATGATGAGAACTGATCAGGGGACATGGAGAGGTGGGACTTGCACAGATCCTTTAGGGAGACACATTTACAGTTCTTGTCCCAGGTTACAGTACTTGGGTAACAGAAAAAGCACCAATAAGTGGATAATTTTTACAAGAAATAGAGAATAAATCAAGTATTTGGAATGAAATCCTGTAAGGAACTTTCTGGGATGGACAGAATTTGTTTTCTTTGTTCTTGAGCTCTGAACAAGAGTCTTACCTACCCAGCAATGAGAATATGACAGGTTAATCTACTGCATGGGAGCTGAGAAGCTGACAAAACCCTCTCTTCATTCTTTGTTCTTCCTAGAAAGTCAATCAGTGCCTACATCTACACAACTTCACAGTAAGCTCTACAGCAGTCCTGCAAATATTCTGCCTTTTCCTATAGCATAATTCTTTTAAAATATTCAATATGGTTGATCTCTTTTTCCAGTCTAAAAAAAACTTAAGACTTGCCACGAGTTTCCTGTGGAGAAGATGGTTAACACAAAATAGCTCTCACTTGTCAGCTTTAGGTTTGGATACTCACTGCTTGAACCCACAGCTCAACTTGAGTTACTTAAGGCAGGCTCGTGTAGACACAGCCAAAAACGATCCAGGAATCACAGAATTATTGAATTTATTTTGTTGTAATATCAAATACTCCTAAGGTAAGAGACTAGAGGGGTCCATTGCAAAGCTCTTCCATAGTGTCTATAAATTAAGTAGATGGCTCACTCAAAAACTTGAGATGTATTACTTACTTTGCAGAAAAACAAACCTAATCTCCCTGTTCTTTAGGTAATACTGGAACTATTTCAAGCAGTTTTCCTTTTCCCACCCTCACCTCTTTTTTTTTTCTTTTTTTTTTTTTTGGTGTGTTTTTTTAAGATTTAATTAGAAAGTAACATGAAAATAATTAAATTATTTCACAACACAGCCTTTTCATAAACACACAATTATGTTCATTTCATGAGAATTTATCTTCACTGTGAAATCAATCGTCACAGTCTCCATTTACTCTACATTACCAAGTCACATTTGATTCCTGTCACAGAATTGTTGACTTCTGCACTAAATCAAAATGACAGATACTGTTAGTTCCCTTCTCCATCTATCCCCAAGTCTCAGCTAACTCAAGATGGTTTTTCCTTCTATGCAGTGAAATGAGTACTTTCCTGGTAACTATATTTCAGAGCTGGAAAGGTTTTCATAAATGGAAAAAATGCAGTGCATAATCCAGGAAACTATTGAAATGTACAGTATCAGAAACATATGGCTGGAGCAAATACCTATGCAGTGAGGGGCTGGGAATGAAAAAGAGAACAAGCTTATTAAAATTCTTCTTCTAAAAGGTTTTTGCTTGAAAATTAAAATAATTTAATTGAACATTAAGAAAGATTTCACAGTCAAGGAAAAAAAAATGCTGCAGATTATGGGGGGAGAAAAAAGAGATACAGAATAATCTCTGTGTTATCATGGAAGCTGGAACAGATGATTTTGCCTTTGTTCTTTAACGATCTACATCTTAAATAGCAAAATGGTTCCATAACCAGAACCCTCAGTGGGCAGACTTCGAAAGCTGATTTCTTTCTCAGCTGCTAAGGTTTTCTTAATTGAAAAAAGCACTTCACCACCCCCCAACAAAAAAAAAGCCAACCAGAAACTAAGTTAATTTTTTACATGATCTTTAAAAAGCAAACATCAGAAACCAGGATTCAGCAGATTACCACAAACAACAATAAGATTTTTTTATTTCAATAGATCTTTATCAATTCCCTCTTTCAGTTTCCTTAAGAACATGGCATAGGGTACAGAGTCCCCAGCCAGATCACTCCACTCGAGAACCAACACTCCTGTTTTTGCTGACACATCTATAAATTCAGGATTCAGTGGAAAATGATACTAATCTTGTTTTGATCAATTTGTGCCAGGAGGCAGATTTTTAGAAATAGCAAAAATCAGCTGTTTTACGGTAACAGAGAAACTGCTGTTTTAATTAGAATTCAATAAATATTTCTTCAGAAACAACTCTGGCCTCCCTTAAAGCTGCAGGACTGACTCCATGATCTGCCTCTCACAAGGCAAAGGTATTTTGTGATCTTCCTGCTGTGCTGTCGTGTCTTAACATGTCCATGTGGATGTAAAGATGTTTTTAGAGCAGCTTGCAGAGGCTGCAGGGTCTACTCAGAGCCCAAAGAGGCAGAGTTATCACAGACATGGCAAACATTTTAGACATCTGATTTTGAAGTCCTTGATGTCTAGTATGGATGAAGATTGAGTGAAAATGGCAATGTCCAGCTATACATCACCTAAGTAAATCCCAAACTTGCCAATGGAAATGCTTCTCTTGGATTTTCACAGCAGTTCAATGATTATTATTTATGATGATGATAATATTCAAAGTCATTAGTCAAACCAAAGGAGAAACAATTAGAAAATTTTAAAATTTCTTTAAAAATTAACAAATTTCTTATGGAAGTAACCTAATAAGTACAGCTGCTATCAAGCCACCAGGACAAAGTTACCTTTCTTGATGGATGCACACCCAACACTGGGATGATCCAAACATAACTACAGCAAGAATCATCAGAATTACATTCATTCCCAGCATCCAAAGCTCATTTATGTTTTTAAGAACATGAAAAGCTTTTCAAAGCTTTTTTCTTTGCTCCAGAAACGCAACTGGTCAAGCATTTGAAACGTTATTCCCAGCTAGTATGTGTGTGACATGCTTTCAAAGGGCACATCCTGGCAGGCCATGTCCCCTTGCAGGCTGGCTCAGCCTTCCTGGGCTACTTCAGACTGAGCCTGACATTGTGTCCTCACGTTTCTGGGGTCAGCAGAAAGCTGACAGCTCAGAAATCCCTCTGATTTGCTTTTGCTTTGCAGGAGGGAGGGGCACTCCTTGCTTCTGAAATTCTGGTCACTATTTCTGGCCACTTTGGGAGCAAAGACAGCTGCTCTGCAGCCAGCCACATCATCTTGAGTGTCTGAAGATAATGCCAAGCTTTGGTGATGTGGGGGAGAAGCAGATGTGAAGGAATTTAGCAGAAGAGGGAAACAAAATCCATCCATGCTACCCCTGCAATTCAATTTACTTACCTGCCTGAAAAAAAAAGCTTACAGGAATTGCCCCTTACCTGCTAAAATGTAATTCCACTGAGACAGCTACAAATGAAACTCTCCTCCTCAGTTTAAAAAAACATAAAAATTACACCTCACTTTTATGTCTTTTGTAACATTTAAGGAAATTGTTTGTGCACAGTAATCTGAACTGGCTGTGCATCAGGAGTAGCTTCCATACAGCACCCACACCACTTAAAACAGAGAAGAGTCTGAGTGGAAAAGTGAGGCAAAAACTAAGCAAAGATTTTATTAATTAGAGAAATAGAGGAATCTATTTTTTCTCCATTCAGCAGTGTTTAAACCCAAACAAACAATCAAATGTGTCCCAAGATTAATGACAGGCAACATTTTCCACTGGAGAAAGTGAAAAGCAATGACGCTTTTGTGATTTCCACCAGTTGAATCTGGTCACAAGGTACAGAAGTCATGTATGTTTTGGTAAGCCTAGGTGACTGCCAAATAAAACAAAAATAGGATCAGGAGATGATTATTCAGCCACAAGGAAGGACTGGCTGACTCATCATGGAGCTGTTTCACCCCACGAGTGGCTCTGAGGACATCAGCCTTTCATCCTATGGTTATGCAACAGCAAAGCAGAAGATAAATCAAGAATATCAAGACCTTGTGCACTCAACAGGGTGGAAACAGCAGAACTGCACTCACAGTTATGAAAATGCTCAGCTAGATGCCATTTGATAGAAGTATCTGCAGAATAGCACATTTTCTTACCTCTGCTCTGTGTTAAACAATGCAAAGATGTGTTTGCTGGACATGAAGCTCTTTTCAACATCTCGCACTTTCAAGTTGTCCAAAGGCAGCATATACTTCTTCTCTTTCTCCTAGGAAAAAAAGGATTAAAACAACACTGTGTGAGAAGAAGCCTGATGTCAGCAAGCTCTGCTTAGTTGGTACTTTTGTTATCACAAGGAAATACCCAAATTTAAAAGTCTGCTTATCTTTCATAGATCTACCTGCAAGAGAAATGAAACCTCAGTTTCAGTTCTGTTTTTCACTGACCCTTTTAAAACATTTCCTAATAAAAGAAGTTCACCTCAAACACACAAACATCTACAATGGTTATTTTTCATTCCTCTGAATTCTAAAAAAGCAAGGGTCAGACTTAACTACAATAAAAGTGTGTGATCAAAAAAGAACTCTCCAATGTCTGCACAGCAAGTGAAGTGACATAAGTTCATCTCTACTTTGTTGTTATTATTAATTATGCAAGCATGGCATTCAATAAACCCACACAGAAACTTTCATTCTGCCAGTGAAAAATACAAAACAAATACAAATCAATCAAAATAATGCCATTATTAAGGTTTTATAACAAAATCAGACACTAATCTAACTAGCTTATTTCTCCAAATAGGAATGAATTATTCATTCTTGCTGTAGCAAACTGCTTTGCAATTTCATCACAATCCTCATTTACAGCACAATCACAGTAATTTCACCTTTTCCAGGTTTCTTCCTTCCTGTCACTTCCAATTAAGGGCTAGCAAGGTAATTCATTATGTCAGAACAAAAACCCTGAAGTGTATTGGCCGTTTCCATCGTGTTAAACTTCCTTAAGCGCTTGCACTGATGGATAAACTGAAGCAAACCTCTCCAGTTCACTTTGCAATCACACCAGATGTTAAATAGAAGGATCCAAAGATGAGAGGTCATCCTCCAAGCCCTCATTCTGGGCTTGCACACCATGATAGATCTGCTGACAGGGGTATTAGCACAGCACAGTTTAACAGCTTCTAAAAGCCATTAAGGTACTGTTAAGGTTGGTGCCACTTTGGCAGCAATGGAGTGCAGAGAGTTTTCGTGCCCTGGAATTCCTGCAGTTGATACTAAATGGGTTTTTCATGAATTTGGCTCCCCATTGACCCTACAGAACGTCAAAAAACCACTGAAGTTGGAGATCTTCCACTCCTTCCCAGTCCCTCATCAGGCAGCGTGAAGCAAGGCTGAGTGGTGTCTGCCCAGCCACCACCAGAGCCAGCTCTGAAGTTCAGCACCACTGCACTTCCCAAAGTGTTCCCAAAGTGTTCCCATCACTCATGGGCTCAAGGAAGAAATGTGCATGGGATGAGTTTATTGTATGAGACAGGACTAAGGGACAAAGCAAAGCAGGGCTCAGCCTTGTCTCTCTGTGTTTCCCAGAATACACCAAGCACCTTGCAGTGCACACAACTGGAAGATGGCTTGGCAGATGCAATTCATCTTGGCTGAGCTTCAGCACATTGCAAAACTAAGCTGGATGAGAAAGGCCCTAAGAGTGAAACTATAAAAATCCTGTGACATGGCCAACAAAGGCTCACTTTCCTAGACAGCCTCCTACCAGGGCCTCAGGAAAGAAAAAAAACAGATTTCAAAAGCCCTTCTGAAAAAGCACAGTTTCTCTTATTGTTGAATACAAAGATTATAAAATTCTGTGTATTCCATAAAAAGCATCTGATGGATTCAGGAACTGCCTCTATGTTAACCACCCTAGGAATTATTCCTCACAAAAGAAGATACACAGGTATATTCTCCACTCTCTCATCTAACATCTGCTCCCATGAAGGAATCTAGTTCTGTGCCACTCTGGAGCTGTTTATCACAGCTCAGATCTGTATTTTCCTTCCTTGGGGCTCTCCCAGCAGGGATTGTACACTGCCACCCACTCAGACAAATCAAACTAAGCCATGTAAATTCATAATTTATCAATTAAAAAAAAAAAAAGCAAACAACACTAAATAAAGATCTTATAAATATGCATGTATGCAAATTAGAAACACATATCCTCTAATATTGATTTGTATTGATATGATCTGTTTTGCTATTATGAATTTATGTCCTAACTAGTATAGTAAAGAAAAGGATAACAATGTATTAGCTCCACTGCCATGACAAAGGGAGATATTCTAGCATATATTGAACTTTGTACCAAAAGCAAATATTTTCTTTTTCAGCTGAAAGCTGGGCTGCAAGGCAATATAAGATACTTTTGTATTCTATTTGAAAAACTTAAGGCAGGTTATTTAAAAAAAAAAAATCTTTTGGGCAGAAATATTCCATTTGGGCAGATATATTCCATTACAGCTAAGAAAAAAAAAATCCAAGATAAGTTTAATTTTTTCTTTAAAAATTATCTTTCAGTGTTACAGAATAGGCTTATCATGATTTACTATTCAATTACTGAAAATGTAAGAAGTTTCTGATGAAGTTTTTCTTCTGACAGACACAATTTACAGAAAAACCAAGCAACCACGGATGAATAAAAATAGAAACTGATGGAAAAACTACCCCAAGAATCTGATTGTCTAAACAAAAATTCCACAAGCAGGAAAGTTATATAAATGTTTGATGCCAAACTGTGAGAAAGTGTTTCTTCTGCAGCCACCAGGAAAAAGGAAATGCCTACTGAAGGCTAAGAAGTGGTTGGTATTTATTTACATGGCCTCCTACCCACATGCTGAGACAGGGCAGTTTCCAAGAAAGGGAAATCACAGGGTGCCTGTGCTTGAGGCAAACAGGAGAGATCAGAGCTAAATGCTGCTTAATTTCAGGAGAAAGGTATTACTGTGACATTAAAGTGTGGCAGCAAAACTCAACGCAATTTTTTTCCCTCCAAAGTGGGGGAAATGATACAGAAATGGAGAATGAGTTAATTCAACAGCAGATGAGCCTGACATTTCAGCCTAAGCTCAATTAATATTATGTTATGGTAGGGCAAAAAAAAAGCTCCAGCCAGGATTATTTGTGCATGTTTCCCATCCTGAGAAGCTGACAGCATAAGAAACAGGGAATGCATGAAGCCTGGGAGGAATGGGGCTAGGCACACTTTGACGAGTGACTACATGCACATAACTGTGGGTCCAGTTTGTCCCCCTCAGCATTTGTTCTTTTTTATTTATAGATTTTTATTTTTATAAAGGGGCAGAGAACCGAAGCGTGACATGAGGGGAAAAACCAGCACATGCTGATCTCACATAGAGACTTCGCCTCTCTTTTTCCAGAGCAGAGAAGGAAAAAGTGGGAGGTAGAATGGCCCATTCCTGTCCCTGTGACATGAAAAAAAAATTCCCCATACTCCACCTTAGAAAAACAAACGAACCTGCTTGCCTGGGGAGGCCTTCCCACCCTGGAGACGATGTTTCACTATTCGTGGGCATAAGTAGCACTCACATCCTTAATGGACCAATTCTGTTCTCCGACAGGCAAGGGAGCTGCCAGGAACTGACAGCATGATGTAAATATGCCATATTACAACTGCCCCTTCCTTCTGCACTATTTAAATGGACTAAAAATAAATACTGCTCAAGTCCAAAATGGCACAAGGGATACAAAAAATACAAGGGCAGCTCCCCTTCCTTCCCCCAGCAGGGTCTCAGCCAGCACTTCCAGGATAATGAACCCTGTTGCATTTTCAGCCAGGGGCAGAAACCGCTTCAAAAAGCGTTCTGTGCTTTTGGAACTTTCAGGCTCAGTCAAAACAGCAAAAGAAACCTTGGACACAACATAAGCAGACCAGATGATAAGAGGAACAGAATTCCTTTGCTTCAAAGAAAAGAGATTGTTAAATGACTTCAGCTTCTTCCAGTTATCAAAGGTGGTTCTTTTGTCACTTCAGGCTGGCTAAGGCACAGCAGCAGCAGCACCAGCACAGGCTCTTCTCCACAAGAGAACAGAATGAAATTTTATGCAGCACAATTCAAGCACACAATGCTCAGGTTCTGAAATGCAGGACTGAGTCCAGTATCGACTCAATTGCACTTCCAGCTACATCAAGAGAATTGAGCTGGTTTGCTCACCACTTACCAATTCACTATAGAACACCAGCTTTGAAATGGAGGGTCATGACACCAACCAAAACCTGTCTGTGTGGGGACCTCTAATTCAAAGAAATCAAGCTCCCAACTGGAAGTACAGGCCACTCTGAAAAGGTTGGAACAAGGACTGGTTTACAGCAGGATCCATTCTCTGCATCAGCTGAGAGAGCAAATCTCAGGAGTATTTAGTGAGCACTGAGAGCAAATGTAGATATCTACAAAATGCCTCTGCCATTAGAATGAGGCATTAACAAGTGTTAGGTATTGATGAGGCAATAGAGTGAACTGCTTAAAAATCATAAACTGAGCAAGAACAGCTTTGTAATAAAGCTGGGGAACAGCACATGAAAAACTTAACATTTCTGCCTCTGGTCTGGATTTCCAGATCAGCACTGTACTGCATTCATACTCGGGGATTACACTTACCTGACTCACAGGCATCCTGCTCAACCTTGTTTTCTGTCAGTGATGGCAAGGCACCATTAAATATCCTGCAGTCAGGACTTTAAGTGTGTAGGTGGGACAATTACTTGGCAAAGCAGTTAAGCAGCAGGGGCAGAAAATAACCCCAAAGCAAAGATACTCTACAATATTGTACTATTTAATGTGGCCAGAGCAGCATCCACATTCTACAGAGACACAAGAAGCAGTGGCTTGTGAACCTGCTAAGCCAGAGTATTTGTAATTTGTATTAAAGGAAGAAGAAGAAAAACAATAGAAGTGTAAGGAAGTGCTGGTGGTCTGTGCCTGTTTACTCCTGAAAAGGAAAGGCTCAGCCTTGTTTACACCTCGGAGCTCAGGCTGCCAGTGCAAACAGCTTACTCTGTGGCATTTGATTCAAGTGAAAAATTATTAATATGCCTCATAGAAACCTTTATAGTATTCAATATCCAAGAGTTTAGCATATTCTGACTCTAAATATATCCAAGAGAATTTTCCTGTGTTTCTGGTTCAGTTTGTATTTCTCTCTCAGTTGACAAAGCCACACAAAATCTTCACAATGGTCTCTGCTTCACCACACTTGGCTTTAA